TCATCATCATCATCATCATCGTCGTCATCATCATCATCATCATCATCATCATCATCATCATCATCATCATCATCATCATCATCATCATCATCATCATCATCATCATCATCATCATCATCATCATCATCATCATCATCATCATCATCATCATCATCCGCCTCCGCCTCCGCCTCCGCCTTTCCTCCTCCGCCACCTCTGGACCCCTCAAAATCGCTATGTCACATACGACTCCGAATAGTTACGCCGCAGGGCCGCCCAGCAGCTCTCGAAAATGGCACCAGCTTCGCAGGTCGCAACCCCACAGGGATGGCGAGGTCTTCTGGTGGTCAGGGTAAGACGTCACTCCGCTGGACCCACCAGCAGCCCGCGAAAGTGCCGACAGTTTCGCAGGTCGCAGCCCCAGAGGGATGGCGAGGTCTCCTGGTGGCCTGGGTAAGACGCTGGACCCCCCAGCAGCCCTCGAATGTGGCGACAGGTTCGGCAGATCGCAGCCCCACAGGGAAGGCGAGGTCTCCTGATGGTCTGGGTAAGACGTCACTCCGCTGGACCCGACAGCAGCCCTCGAAATTGGCGACAGTTTCGCAGATCGCAAGCGTAAGACACTGGACCCCCCAGCACCCCTCGAAATTGGCGATAATTTCGCAGGTCGCAGCCCCACACGGATGGCGAAGTCTCTTGGTGGTCTGGGTAAGACGTCTCTCCGCTGAACCCCCCAGCAGCCCTCGAAAGTGGCGACGGCTTCGCAATTAGCAGCCCTACAAGGATGGCGAGGTTTCCTGGTGGCCTTGGTAAGACGTCACCCCGCTGGACCCCCCACCAGCCCTCGGAAGTGGCAACGGTTTCGCAAATCGCAGTCCCACATGGATGGCTGGGTAAGACGTCACTCCGCTGGACCCCCCAGCAGCCCTCGAAAGTGGCACCAATTCTGCAGGTCGCAAGCCCACAAGGATGGCGAGGTTTCCTGGTGGTCTAGGTCACTCCGCTGGACCCCCCAGCAGCCCTCGAAAGTGGAGACAGTTTCGCCGGTCGCAACCCCAGAGGGATGGCGAGGTTTCCTGGTGGTCTGGGTAAGACGTCACTCCGCTGGACCCCACCAGCAGCTCTCGAAAGTGGCTGCAGTTTCGCAGATCGCAGCCCCCCAAAGATGGCCAGGTAGGAGGCAAGCTGGCACGCAGGAAGCAGTTATGTGAAAGGCAGGAGAGAACAGGAGAGGAGGGGGGCGGGAGAGGGGGAAGACGCGCGGGCCGTGTTCTACTCAAAGCGACGAATATCCAACGCGGGGGGGGTAGGAACAACTGCCTCCAAGGCGCCTCCGAAACGCTCTCATGAGACCCCATCAGCCATCCGAGTGACCTCAGGCCCACAACCCAAGCACGGTGGCGGGATGCGCCGAATGCCATTCCAGAATCATTCGTCTGATGTTTTGACGGATGCCCTCCGTTTGTATATGCGGGTTCTCACCTCATTCCCCATGCATGCACGGCGAATACTGAGAACGTCAGCCCAAGAGAAGAGGCCCCGAAAAGGCCCCCATGAAGCACCAAATTAGCTCCAAAAAAGCCAAAAAGGCGCACAAGAGGCCCTCAGGATTAACACGTGACAACCGCCAATTCCCTGAGGGGTCGGCGGTGTGGGGTGTGGCGTAAGCCCACGTAAATACAAAACACACTCACCAGCTGCGGATCATTGTCGTGAAAACCCTCCAACACGTTCGCATGGTATCTTATATAAAATATGTTATGCCGATGTTCCTGACACGGTGTCCCGAACTTTCGCCCATGGGGCGTTTGCGACTAAATGACAATACTTGAGCAGGCGGAAGGATTTTCCTCTTGAGGCCCACATGACATATGGGAAATGTCGTTGCCTGTAGCGGATGCGGGCGCAGCGATCAGATCGCGCTCGCGTCGAAGTGGGGTGCGGCATATGTTATGGGAGGCTGCGGGAGATGGCCAGGCCCGCTGTGGCGCTCGAGCACCCACATGTTATGGAGACTGCGGGAGTTGGACGGGGCAGCTGTGGCGCTCGAGCAACGACATGTTATGGGAGGGGTTCGGAGAGGTGGCCAAGCCCGCTGTGGCGCTCGAGCTCCCGACTTGGGCACCGCGGTCGTCTTCCCTCCTCCTCCTCCCTCCTCCGTCATCCGCCTCTACCGTCCTCCCTCCTCGTCCGCCTCCCTCCTCGTAAGGGAAACCCCTCCTCCGTAGAATCATAGCTTGGGCTGCAGGTCCAAGGCTCCGTGGATCCATGTCCCCTTGGGTCTATTTATAAATAATTATCCTAACCATATTCCAGCAAAGAATAGGATCCACAAAGCTTCCACGCCCCAAAAAAAATCCACAATGCACGGAAATTGGATCCACGTGACTCTCGTACACACGCTATTGGATCCAAATGGATCCGTGCGTTCCCATGCAAGAGGAAAAAATTCGGCCTGCGGATGTATACGTGCTCGATGTTGAGGAAACACCCATGAAAAAATGATCCTATCTTGCGACGCGGCACGTCAAACCATGCACTGCATCTGCCACCGTGCTCACATGGGTAATGTTAATTTCCATGTCCAGATCCCATGCATCGCAACACAATGCCTGCGAGTGTTGATGCGGCATGAATTCACTTTCTCCAAGATTGTCGGGCACGGTCCAAACTCCATGCTGGCAGCGTTCCGCACCAGTAGATGCAGCAGCACGGCAAGGCGAGAACCCGATGACTCGTCCGCACGAAGCGCATGCCACACCTCCGAGGTTTCGATGAGCGGATCTGCACACAAGCCTCTCGAGTCAGGGGGGGGCAGCAGGGGACGGAGGAGGGAAGTGAGTGAGCAAAATCCACTCGGAATCGGTCGGTGCTGGCTCTGACTGCAACAGGATGTATGATGTCCTCGAAGCAGGAAAGAAGAAAAACAACTATAGTTGAAAGAAGGCGCCGACAAGCGCATACTTGTTGAGAGGATGCAGAACATGCAATCACTTGTGGTCGCTGATGCACAAAACGCCATCAAATTATTGTTGCTGCTGGCGGCCGGAATCGGCGGCTGCAAGCCACGCGGCGTGCCACGGCCGGAAGACCGCCAGTTTGTAGTTGAGCACCCGGTACGCCAAAGTGCAGAGTTGAGGGCGGTGGTGGTCGTGCCAACCATGCAGCCTGAAAGCGTTCCGTTCGGCCTGAGAGAGGTCGGCCGGGAGTGGTAGAGGTAAATCGAGCCCGTGCGCTCGACGAAGCGGCTCCGTGGTCGGACATTCGTGCATCATGTGGTGGGTGTTGTTGTCCACCTAGCAGGTGAGGCAGGTGCGCGAGTGCAAATGCGAAAGGCGCACTGCGTTGGGCTCGGCTGCCATCACGCACCTCTGTGCCAAAGCGAACCGGTCGTGGTCGGCCCCGGTGTGCTCGTTCAGCCACTCGCAGAGGGTCGTGTGGCAAGGCGCTGGTACGCGGCCGGCGGCCTCCTTGCGGAGCGTCCGTCGGTGGTAGTGTGTCCAAATCCATGCCCGCCATGCCTGGCGCACGTGGTGGTCCAGGTGTTCTTGGCGAAGGAGTCGAACATCGAAAGTTTGATGGTCGTGGAATCGGTCGGCGTTCCGCTCCTAGGATCCATCCCGACAAGTCTCCGGACCCGCACCCAGCCGCCCGCGGCGGCGGGAGACTCCAGAGGCAGGGGAGCCCAGAATCGAATCGACAAGTCGTATCGGCGATCGAAACTAATCGGATCGGCGGACACCGGCCAAGTCGGGATGAGTCGAATCGGCAGAAGTCGGCAGACCGGCAGGCCTCCATGGAGAAATCGGAACCCAAATCGGAATCCGAAATCGGATCGAATCGGAATCGGAACCCATCGAGATCGAATCGCATCGGAGGGGTCGAAACGAGCCATCCAGAGGCGCCCGAGAACCTCGGCGCTCGAGCCACGAAGCTCCTCGAGGATCGGGGCTCGAGGCTTCTGTCCACCGACGGCGCTTGGCGGGCACCCTGCCCGGGCTGCCGCGGAGGGAGGGAGGGAAGGAGGGAGCGAAGAAGGGAGGGAGGGAGGGAGGGAGGGAGGGAGGGAGGGAGGGAGGGCTGCCGCAGAAGAAGGGAAGGAGGGAGGGAGGGAAGGAAGGAGGGAGGGATCGGATCGGGTCGGCTGTCCGCGGGAGGGCCCGTCCAGGGGCCGTTGGCGGGGGGGGGGCAGCGCCTACCAGCACCACAGCCCAGGAGGGAGGCAGGAGGGAGGGAGGGAGGGGAGGGACGGGAAGGAGAGGGCAGGGAGGAGAAGGGGGAGGGAGGAGGGGGCGAGAGAGCACGGGGAGGGAGGGGAGGGGCGGAGGCGCTGGCAGGAGGGAGGGCAGGGAGGAGGCAGGGGGGCGGGCGGGGGGCCGCGAGAAGAGAAGCCTCGGAGGGCGGCGGCGGCGGCCAGGGCGACGGCCCGCCCGTGCGCGCCGCCCTGCCCCCCCCCCCCCCCGTGTTGCACCCCTGGCGGGGGGCGGGGGGCGAGGAGGAGGAGGAGGAGGAGGGAGAGGAGGAGGAGGAGGAGGAGGGAGGAGGCGGAGGAGGAGGAGGAGGAGGAGGAGGAGGAGAGGAGGAGGAGGAGGGAGAGGAGGGAGCCAGGAGGGAGGAGGAGGAGGAGGAGGAGGAGGAGGAGGAGGGAGGGACTCAGGAGGCAGGAGGAGGAGGGAGGAGGGAGGAGGAGGGAGGAGGAGGGGGCTCCTGCGAGGGCGCGGGCGCGGGCTCCGTCTCCTCCTGGGCGGGGCGGCGCGCCCCAGGGGGGCGCCCCTCTGGGCGTCGCCTACTGGGCGGGCGATAGGGTCGACCCGTACCTTGGCGGCGAGCGAGGGGGGGAAGCGAGAAGGACAAGGCCTTCTCAGAAGGCGGCGGGACTTCTCAGTAGCCCTCGCGCCTTCTGAGAAAATGTTTCTGTCTTCGGGCAAGGCTTCGAAAGCTTCTCGGAAGGCCAGGGGGGGTCCCAGCCTTCTGAAAAAGGCCAGCCCCTTTTCACTTCCCCCCTCGCTCGCCGCCAAGTATCACAAGGAAGTTCGCTAAGGGTGCAAGGGCCTGGGAGGGCAAGGCCGACACTTTGCAAGCGGGGCGCGGCCGACGAGAGCGGCCAAGGATGGACCGAGGATTCAAGGATGCAGGCTACCCTTGGGAAGGTTGCCCATCCTTACTATGCGGGTTGACTGTAGATGAGGGGGGGCGAAGAAAGGCGCACTTTCGGGCCCTGGACGGCCTCCTCTGGGACCCGAAAAGGGCCCCTTTTATGCTCTTTGGTGCCCTTTTTCTACGGGCCTCGCTGTCCCCTCTTGCGTCGCCCCCCCCCCAAAAAAAAAATATCGCAGCCCAGCGCCCTCCCAGGTAAGACGAAGCCAGGACGAGGATAACATCCACCACTGAGTCTAGCATCCGGAAGGACGCGTAAGCAGAAGAATGCACGATTGGCAACTCTTCGCAAAAATACACGGCACACCCCGCAGAGCGAACGCGTGCGTTCAGAGACTCGACTGCGAAGCAGAAAAGCGGAGCGCATCACGACTGCGAGGCAGAAGACAAGAAGAGACGGAGGAAGCGGAGGGAGGGGGAAGGAAGGGAGGAGGTAGACGACTCAGACCAAAACGTTGTTCAGAAGGACTGCGTCGCCTTGTACACGTCCGATGCCCATTCCTGCCGGGGCCGACCGAGACGACGGTTGACCGCACAATTATTCGGTGCACCGTCGTCTTGACATAAGATTCCCCAACCAGCGAATGGTTCCCGCTTGTTAGAATTCTCACATGCAAGTTTACTTGTTACGCACGTAGGACGGCATATGAATGTGTTTCGTGCGTTATTTCCAAAACCTCCTGGTTACTCACTCTGGATATGTACGGACGTGGTATACCAAGAATTGTCCGAATGTACTTGCAGAGAAAGCATATAATATGCTTTGGCACGCTTTTAAAAAGCCACAGCGAGTCCAAAGAGTATTAAAACTTGCTAACCACGAAGCTAAAAGAAATATGCCATTTCCGGCGCTTCCCAATTGAAGTATGAAACCAAAACTTTCGCAACGAGTTGAAACTGTTCAAACTTTCACCCAACCTCGTCGCAGGATAACAGGCCTCCCAGGCAAACCGCCTCCCGAACCTTTTTGATGGGTTAGCCTGCGGAGCCCCTGGTCTCTGCGTTAGAGGAAACATTGATCTGCAGGGTCTTGTCCCAATTCAGCTCCAAGCCGCACTCTTGCCCTTCGGTGGCGATCGCGTCCAACATGTTGTCCAGGTTGTGCGGATGCTGAAGCACCAAGAATGTGTCGTCGGCGTAAAAGACACCCCGGGTGACGACGTAGTCGGGCTCAGCGTGTAAAGCCAATCCGGCCAAGGCGTCGTGAAGCACGACAGTCTGAACAGCAATGAACAGGTATGGGTTCAGTGGGCAGTCTTGGACAATCCCTGCATAATGTTTCCTCTCGGCTGATTTTCCGCAATGATCAAGTATCGTAAAGCAGCGCTCTGCGTAGAAACCCCGCACCACGCTTACGATTTGTTCTGGCAAGCCGGGTATTGTAAGAGCAGCGCGCATACAGTCTGGCTTGAGACGATCAAGCGCTTTGGCCCAATCCACAAAAATGACGTAAATCCCCCACCATTGTTCACGTGGGCTGCGTCCACCATCCGCCGGACTAACATCAAAGCATCGGCCGTGCCACGCCTCGGCCGGAAGCCAATTTGGGACTCCCGCACTTTTCCGTCGCACCCACCTTCGATAAGTCTTTGGTGGATCATTGCCGCGAGCGTCTTGTACCCAACGGTTAGTAGGGATATCGGCCAGTAGTTGCTTGGCAAAGAGGCGTCACCTTCCTTAAAGAGAAAGCTTACATTGGTTCGTTTCCACGTTGCGGGAATCTCTTTGGTCGCCCGACATGTTTGGCACACGCTTCACAGTAATACACATGCTTTCGAAACTTCGGCGAGAATCTTCCAGAACTCTGGTGGCACGTCGTCTGGCCCGGCAGCCCTCTTGCCCTTCATCTTCTCGATTGCAACCCTGATGTCTTCCAGCGAAAATGCATCCGTTCTAATTGGGAGATTACTTCGTGTTTGTTGGTGCCAGTTCAGGAGACTGTACTCGCCATTGTAGTTTTCCAAAATCCGCCGATCTGGCGCGTGAGTTTCAAGGTGTCTCAGCTACAGCCTCGAGGCTGAGCCTCAGCCTCTGGGGGGGGTGCCGGGGTGGCTCTGCCGGGGAAGGGGATGGGGGTGGGGGGTGCGATTTTTCCGGCAGTCGCGGAGGGCTGTTTTTACAGAAGGCTCTAGTCTCAAGGATGCGCTGAAAGGGTGGCCGCGGCCGCAAAAGTCTCTGAGGACGGTCTAAGAAAGTCCCGAGACCCCGAAAGATCGCCCGAACACGCACAATATGGCCCCAAGACGGCGCAAGAGCCTTCCAAGACGTCTGAAGAGGCCTCCAAGAGGCCTCCCACGAGGGCCCCCAGAGGCAAAAATCGTTCATGTCCATTGTTTTTTCCATGTTTTGGGGGTTGTCGTTTTTTCTGCTTTCCGACGCTCCAAGACGGCCCAAGAGGCCCCCAAGACCGCTCGAAGACGGCCCAGGAGGCCCCCAAACAGTCCCAAGACGGCCCAAAAGGGCCCCAAGGCGGCCCAAGAGCCGCCCAAGACGGCCCAAGAGGCCCCCAAGACGGCCCCAAGAGGACCCAAAAGAGGGACGAAAAGCAGAAACAATCGAGCCTTCCAGCCCACGAGGCCCCCAGGAGGCCCCAGGAGGCCCCAAGAGCCCCCAAGAGGGCCCCAAAAAGCCTCCAGGAAGCCCCCACGACGCCCCGACAGGTTCCTGTGCGAGTGTCTGTGTGTGGTGCGTGTCTGCGAATGTCTGCGCGTGCTAGTGTCTGGCGTGCGCCTAGTGTGTCCTTGTATGTGTGTCTGCCGTATGTGCATTTGGTCGTGCGCGTGCGTGAGGTGTCCGCGTAATATGTGTATCCGAGCAACCCGGATCGGCGGCACTGGCCGAAGGCCACTGCAATACTCAGTGAGAATATCAGGCCTGGCCGCTGTGTCCGTGAGATTCCCGTCCAAATCTTTCACGCCAGCGTGCTTACGAGGCGCTGTCTCCCATAGCAGACGAACTGCCTGCCACCCCCCACCGTCCAAGGAAGAATTTCGCCACTTGACGCGGTCCTTCTGAGCAGATCGTCGCACCAGCTTGATGTAGTTATTCTCTGCGCTGTGGCCCCCGTTTCGGCGAAAGCCGTTTCTTGTTCGATGAGTTCCAGCGTGCCCGAAGATATCCACCGACGGCGGGCCCGGCGAGGGCGCGCAGGTGGATGCGCCGAAGCTTCTTCGAGTGCCGTCTCCAATCTGCGGGCAGCGCCGTCGAGCGAGTCCGCGGGAGACCCCGAAGCAGGAGAGCCCAGAATCGAATCGATAAGTCGGATCGGCGATCGAAATGAGTCGGATCGGCGGAAATCGGCGGCCGAGTCGGGAAAAGTCGAATCGGCGGACATCGGCAGGCGAATATGCCTCCAGTAAGGCATCGGAGCCCAAATCGGAATCCGAAGTCCAATCGAATCGGAATCGGAAGCCATCGAAGTCGAATCGAATCGAATCGGAGGAATCGAAACGAGCCCTGCGAAGTAGTACAAGACGCCTTGAACCCACTTGCACAAGATTCCTTTTGTGGAAGGCTGTGATGAGGCGGACACGTCAAACCTTGCAATGTGCTTTCCTCCACCTCCTCCCCGAGGAGAGTATAAAAATATGTCTGCAATCGTCTGAAAAGGGTGGCTGTTCAGCGCAGCCTGCCGGATCGTCTTGCATCCATCAACCAATGGAAGAACTGAGTAATGGCATAGTACGTGGTCAATTTGCGAGAAAGACTCTGGAGATACAGCATCCATTGGCGTTGTGCCCAATCCTCTGCACGTATGTAATGCGCTGCTCGACGGGAACGTCGAAATATGTATTCGCAATTACCAAGCCATGTGCGACACAACACTCCGATAAGAGCTGCCGACTCGTTACTTTATTGATGGAATGCTTCCCAGGCTTTGCTGGAAAGACGCGATGTCAAATTTAGCGTTCTTCTCCGGCCCCTCGGTGCAATAATTTAGCGCTGTAATCTTCCATTCCAACTGTAGTGCTGTGAGGCGTGGTGGGCTTGATCGATTTCTGGAGCTCTTCGTAAAACTCCTGCCATTCGTTCAAGTCGTACCCGCTATGGGGGGCGTAGGCGGTCACGAGAGCAAGCATACCTCCCATGATTTTGATACGGAATGTCGCCAATCTAGAACTGTGTGCTCTGAAGGCAACACGGCCCACGGGCCCACGGGGCCCACGGGGCCACGACAAAGCCAACCCAGCTACTGAATGTTTGGTTGCCTGCGGCTCCCCAAATAGACAAATCAAGAATCCCCCATTGTTGTCGAACTCTGTTCCATGTAGTTGCGTCTCCTGGATACAAAATATGTCTATGCATCTGGATTCCATGGCTTGAGACAAATCCACAAAGTTGATGGCTGAATTGCCCCTGAGACCCTCCACGTTCCAAGCGCCGATCCGCTGAGCAGCCAAAGGTTTGCAAGAACGTCGGGGCTTGCCCCAACATGTCTGGATATTCGGAGAAGAGGATGTGCCATGTGAAACGGTGTCGCCACGGGGCGTTCCCTGTAACAACTCCTGGGCAAGAAGAAAGTGATGAACGAGCATTTGAAGAAGCATTTGAGAAAGATGTAGAGGTTGGGGTGGGCGTGGAGGCAGCTTTGCCCGTCGTGCGTCCAGCATATCGGGCAGGGAGAAATCGAGAATCTCTGAAATGCGGCGGGTCTGGAGGACGTCTCGGGCGCCGCGGCCTTCTCAGAGCGCTCCAAAACGCTCCAAGAGCGTTCCGGAACGCTCTGGAACGAATGTATCCTCGTCCTAGCCCCGTCCGACGGGGGGCCGCCCTCCGCCCCGACTCCGGATCCGCCGTACTCTGGCTGATGCAATGACTTGCAGTCAAAACTGATGGTGAGGATGCGCGATGAGGATGCGAGTCCCTTGGGCGTCCATGGCAGAGCTTGTCGAGCGGGGCTCGCCATTGAAGATGGTCAAGGATGGAGCGAAAAGGCTAGGACGCAAGGCCTTGAGCAGACGACCTGTCCTTATCATAGACTTCGACCGCAAATGAGGACAGCGCAGGCCACACCCACCCCCAGCCGGATCCTGAATCGGAGCCTGGCCGCGGTGGCGCTCCGAAACCGGGGAAGGGGGCTCGAGGATCTGGGGGGGGATTCAAAAAGGGATCGAGGGGGGGGGGATCGGGGAGGGGTCGCCCGCGGGGACTCCAAGCTCCCCTCGATCGAGGATGCAAGAGGAATCGAAGGGGGATCGTCATGGAGCGTCGTGCTCCGCAGCGCCGTCTGGCGTCCATTTGGGCCACGAGCGTGGAGCTTTACACTCGAATGCTAATCTATGGGCAATATTCATGTCCCGCCCTGCCCGGCGGCAAAATGCACCGCGGCCCCGACCATCCACCCTGGCTAGGGGCTCACAATCTGAGCCTCCTGCAAAAGCTGAAGCGAAGTACCCCACCCTGTCATCACTCGAAATCCCCACTGCCCACCACAGGAAGCACGGCCCCTAGGCTCAACAACGCAAAAACTGGCTGGATGACACGTTCCTGTGGTAATCAGCTGGTGGCTCTGGGAATGTAGGAAACGAGGAGAGGGAGGAGGAACGTAGGCTAATATGGGAGGAGGGGATAACGTAGGGTTTCCATGATTTATGCCTCGGCGGCAACTCGAGAGAGAAGCCTCACCAAATATGAGATACGGCAGGTTCGTGTCGTGGCGATTTCGGCGTTGGTTCCTGACATCGCGGGAATCTTTCAACCTAGCACGGTCAGCCGTTTTCTGGAATGACTGATCGTTCAACATCGACCGATTCTGGGTCGCCAGCGGCGTGCAATCTAAACGCTGGCGGCGGGGTGGCCGCAGGACATCACGACGCGACCCTACCGAAGGTATGCCTCTCATTACTTGTCAATTCATGGCAAAGCCGCGCGGGTGTTTGGGGGGAGCTCCAGAAGGCCCCCCCAAGAGCGACCCGTCTGGCCAAAACAAAAAAGTGGATGCAACAGTGTAAACTGAACGGCCGAGCGCGGGGGTGCTAATGGGGATGGGGGCCCCGATCAGATACCCGTCTGCCAAACTCCAAGGTTGTGACCAGCTTGGCTTCCACGAGCTTTTCCATGACTGCATTGGACAAATCAGATATTTGCATTCAAAACTGCGTCTCCGCGAGGCAATTCTGATCTTGTCAGAGCTAGTCTGGATGCGTCTGGTAGCAGAAACCACACGTCCGAATTTGCTTCCTCTGTCAGTGCCACGGGGCGCTGATCCAGGTATAAATCGCTGCTGTGTGTATGAGGTCACTGTCTGATTATCTGCTGTACTTCAACCACAGCGGAAGTGGGTAGACCTGTAGAGCGTATCGTTTGTAACAGTACAACCGCCCTTATTTGACGATGCTCGGGTATTTTCTGCATCTGCTCACACTATCACTATCCCTCTCTCTCCCTCTTTCTCTCGCTCAATTGATTTCAAAATCGACGCGCAACATCGGGCCAGCGAACAAGATGAAGGCCGCGAAAGGGCCCTCACGCCGGCGGGGGCGAGTGGGAGAAGATGCACACTAAAAGCGACAAATGCGGGGGGGAGGGGGGGAAGGCTAAAAACAGCCTGAGCAAACCATTTGAAAAAGCTGCGACAACATAAGGTGTGTTTATTGGTTCCGCGCTCATTGAAATCCAAAAACACGTGCAAACAGATGATTTGAGCACGTTATCATCACGAAATCCTGCGTTTCCAAATGTCTTTTGCCTCCGACAGGCGCACAGCGAATGAAACGCACATGCTCTCGTAACAGCTTGGCATGGACGTCTTAGAATGTCATTCGCCTTTCTTGATTTCTTCCTGAATGATTTACACTTTGTTGAATTTGCGCCTGCTCGCGCCCCGGCGCCGCGCTGGCCGTCGCGCCGCCAGCCCTTCCAGGCCGAGCGGCCCACCAATGGCCTCCATCTGGCGAGATCAGGATCGTCTCCGTCTCCGTCCCCGTCAGGGCCAGGGCCCGACTCTGATGCACCCCCGTCGGGTCCTCCTCCTCCTCCTCCTCCTCCTCATCCTCCTCCTCCTTCTCCTCCTCCTCCTCCTTCTCCTCCTCTCTCCTCATCCTCATCCTCCTCCTCCTTTTCCTCATCCACCTAGTCCTCCTCCTCCCCTCTCCTCCTCCCTCATCCCCCCCTCCCCTCCTCCTCCTCCTCCTTCTCCTCCTCCTCCTCCTCCTCCTTCTCCTCCTCCTCCTCCTCGGGTTCCTCCTCTATCCTCCCCCTCTTGGGGCATGACGGCTTCCAAGCCTCTATTCCACTGCGTGCTCCCCCACATGCCTGATCAGGGCAACTCGCCTGGGCGTCGTTTCCGGATGGGCTGGTGAGGTTACGTGAAGGGTCTAAAATTTCAAGCTTCAGGGTCAGAAAGGAAGCCTCAGGCGAAACGACCAGCCCGCCCTACCGGCACGTCTGGGGGGGTGACAGAAAGGAATTTTCTACAAGGCTAAAGGATGGAAGGGAGGAGGAGGAGGAGATCCTCCCGGGCGCCGACTCGCTGGACTCTGGACTCTGCCCTTGGAGGTCGAAAGCGTCAACTCGACACTAGAAGAGACCCCTCATTGCACTGGCTTTGCAGACGTGCTGCAGCGGATTTCTGCGTGGAGTTCTGCGTGGATGTTTGCCCGAAACGGCGAGCGAAAATCGAAGTGAATTTCGCGCGGATGCTTCCCAACCATCCTGTGGTGTTGGGTCCTTGTTTTGAAGAAACGGTCCCCGCGTCTCCCCATCCCGTGGCCCCCCCCAGTGGGGGTACCACATGCGTCCGCCACACCCAGAACAGCGCTTCGTGGCCCCATAGGGAGCTCCACGTAAGGCCCCAGTGGGGGTACCACATGCGTCCGCCACACCCAGTACAACGCTTCGTGGCCCCATAGAGAGCCCCACGTAAGGCCCCAGTGGGGGTACCACATGCGTCCGTCACACCCAGTACAGCACTTCGTGGCTCCATAGGGAGCTCCACGTAAGGCCCCAGTGGGGGTACCAGATGCATCCGCCACACCCAGTACAGCGCTTCGTGGCGCCATCGGGAGCTCCACGTAAGGCCCCAGTGGGGGTGCCCACATGCGTCCGCCACACCCAGTACAGCGTTTCGTGGCCTGTGGGACCGCCCGCATGCGTCCCGCACACGCAATTTGACATTTTCACACACCCAGTACAACGTTTCGTGGCCCGATCAAGAGCTCCACCGAAGCCTCCAGTGGGACCGCCCGCATGCGTCCCGCACACGCAATTTGACATTTTCACCCACCCAGTACAGCGTTTCGTGGCCCCATAAGGAGCTCCACCGAAACCCCCAGTAAGACTGCCCACATGCGTCCCACACACACACACACACACACACACACACTTTGGCATTTTCACCCACCCAGTACAGCGCTGCGTGGCCCCATAGGAATCTCCACCGAAGCCCCCAGTGGGACCGCCCGCATGCGTCCCGCACACCCACTTTGGCATTTTCACCCACCCTGTAAAACGTTTCGTGGCCCCTAGGGAGCTCCACCGAAGCCCCCAGTGGACCGCCCGCATGACTCCCGGAAACCCAATTTGGCATTTTCACCCCCCAATACAGCGCTTCGTGGCCCCCATAGGGCGCTCCACCGAAGCCCCCAGTGGGACCGTTCGCATGCGTCCCGGAAGCCCAATGCTGCATCTTCACCCACTCAGTACAGCGTCTCGTGGCCGCATACAGAGCTCCACCGAAGCCCCCAGTGGGACCGTCCGCATGCGTCCCACACACCCAGTTTGGCATTTTCACCCACCCAGTACAGCGCGTCGTGGCCCCAAAGGGAGCTCCACCGACGGCCTCAGCGCTACCGCCCGCATGTGTTCCCCCCCCACCCAGTGCAGCGCTTCGTGGCCCCATAGGGAGCTTCACCGAAGATATTCACAAGTACGGCACCCACAACAGCATATGGTTCGGTCCTTCGCCAAGATAATTAGGAATGGCCAAAAAATCCGCATGACATTCACCTCGAAGTCCGGAACGAAACTCACCAGGACACTCCAGGCAAACCCTATCGCCATCCGAGCGAAACCCGCTCTGCGATGTTGGCGCCATGAGACCCCGTGCGCCGAGGAAGGCGGAGTCGGCGACTCCGACGAGCGTGGCTTGCAAAGGGTGTGGCTTGCAACTGGCACCCTGGGAAGGGGCACCCTGAGGGGCGGGGACCTCGATAAGCCCTTGGCCGCGCCCCGAGGAGGCCCGACGAGGACAGCGTCGTGCTTCCCGGGCTCCAACGGCGCCGATCCCGAACCCCACCCCAGCGTTACCACACCCTTGGTAGTCGCCACGGGAGGAACAGGAGGAGGAGGAGGAGGAGGAGGAGGAGGAGGAGGGAGGAGGAGGAGGGAGGAGGAGGAGGAGGGAGGAGGGAGGAGGAGGAGGAGGAGGAGGGAGAAGGAGGAGGAGACCTCGCGGCGGACGAGGAGGAGGACGGAAAACGAGACCGAGGGTCGGGGCCGGTCGGGGCCCGATGAGAGCGAGGGCCGCGTGCGGGCAGAGCGGCGTCGCCTCCGCCTCGGCCGGCGCAGGGGCGGCGTCCTC